CATCTTGCACTATGAATAACCACTTTGAAGACAACAACATGCAATGTTTTAATTATTGAAACTGTCCTACTAATTGGTTTTGAAACTGTCTCATTACCATTTGTTTCTCAATAAAATTAATAAAAACATAAAGACCAAAAAAATTCACCATTTACTATTTCCCATGAACTTTCCATTATTATGAACATTCAGTCACATTTGTGATTTACAAAATGCATATGAATGTTTCTCTGGTGCACTCATTTCTCTGTTTCTAGATATTTTAATTACAACTTTACAAAATATATCTGGCAGAGCATGCACTCCCCTCATGACCTTTAAAATTTTCTTAATGTAACATATTTTATTATTTTGCAAAAATTTGCTAATCAGTTATTGATTTCCTCGTCCTTCTTTACATCAGAGAAAATATCATCAAAATTTTGATTGAGTTAGGATTATGAAGTAATATCCAATAATAAGAAACCCAATATGGTAAATATGTCATACTGGAACTTAGTATATCTCTAGTGAGTTCTTTGCATCTCATTATTTTATTAATGGCTTTTTTCTCCATTCAAATCCAGCATCATTTTTCTAATTTATTCCTAGGTATGTTGTATTACTTAGTATGAAATCTCTGCATTCTCCATGTTGTTTTCTATGATATAAATATAACTTGTTTCCTTGCTGCATATTTTTACTAAGTCAGATGATTAAATTGATCCTTTTATATTTTTTTTCAAAGTTTTATTGATAAACATATAGCAATGAGACAGTTTCAAATCAAATCAAAAGTACAGTTTCAACAAATAATACACTGCATACATTCTTCTCAGTGGTTAATTGCTGTACAAGATGCAGACGATCCTTTTATATTTTTAAAAATCATTTATTTCCTTATTTATTTGGTACAGGGTCTCACTACACAGCTTGGACTCACAATGATCCTCCTGCCTCAGCCTCCCCCGCAATGGGATTACAGGCATGGACTACAGCAAGGATCAAAGTTGATCCTTTTAGAGTTCACAAAAATCCTGTGATACCATTGTTAGTTATAGCCTCAGCTCCCAACCTTCCCATCAGCTATTGTCATTTACCTTATTTTTATATTGTTATTTGTCAAGTTATGGAGAATAATTTCGAATAATGAGGGTGATAGTTGGTATTCTTATTTCTGGACATTTTGGTTTTAACTACTATGATGTTGGCTGTTGGTTAATATTTTCAAATTTGCTGGCTCAGTAGAATGAGCGCGTCCCTGGCAAGTGCAAGGCCCTGAGTTCAATCCCCGGTTCTGAAAAAAAAAAAAGACAAAATATTTTCAAATTTGCAATGTATGAGGGATTTTAAGTTGGAGTAGTTATTGAATTACTTTTTAATGAGAATAAAGGAGAGGCATATGCAAGAATTCAGACTATAGTATTATACTTCAAATGAAAAGTTAAGAGTTTATTTCATCCCAATTTTTCTGTCCTGATTTTCTTTCGTCTCTTCTTTCTTTTGTGCTCTTTATTTGATGTATGTTTGACTAAATAAATTTACATGTGACACACTAATAGCTCTTACATAGCTAATGTAAGAGTAGGCTAGAAGTTTTTAGCACAATATATATTAAGGATCCAATTTCAAGATTTTTTTTTGAAGAACTACAAATTATAATTTTAAAAAGGAAACCAAATAGAAATAGGGAAAAACATTTGTAGAGGTAAATCTTAAATACAAATAAAAAACAGAAAGATATTCAACTTTGTTAATTGCTTGACTGATTTCTAGAAAAATATAACCCAATCTCCAATTTTTTTCAGGCAGGAAAGTAGTGGGACTTATCTGGACACATTCAGCCATAGTGGGGGAAACCCAGCAGATCCCCCATGAAGACGGGGTTTCCTAAACCTCACAGCATGACACTGCTTACCTCAGAGTCCCTTATGAGCTATAGAGTGAGGATTTTCCAGGCCCTTTCATTCTTGAGGGTAGAGGAAGGGGATACGACAGCCCTGGCCTTGCCCAAGAGCCATAGAGACCCCAGTGATGTGCCCACCTGCTCGACTGCTGCGATTAACTGGTCACATGACCACCAGTGCAAGCATAGTCCTGATTTATGTGCCTTTTTGAACTAAACAACTCACCTCATATTTTTACTTTTATTTTTATTTTTTTAGCAGTGCTGGAGGTTGAACTGAGGGCTAGGTGAGCATTCCACGTAGAGCTCCAATCCAAACCCACTAGGAATGAATCTGGTTTCCTTTTTATATGGGATCACACCAGCCAGCTTCTAGTTTCTAGAATATTCTTTCCTAAAATGACAAGGACTACCAGAGAAATCCAGATGAGCTTGGAACACTATACTGTTATAAGAAAGATTATTTTCAAACACATGTGTAGGTAACAGCAAAGGAGCCAGTCAGCTGGTGACAATTTTGTGTATAAGTATAGAAAAGTTTATAATTAACTGTAATGTTGAGTCTTAAAGAGGTTATAACTTCATAATATGCTCAAAAGGAAAAATATAAAATATTTTAAAACAGCATATTTTTCTTTCCTTCCTTCCATCCTTTTTTGTTTTATATCCCCTCCCCGGGGCCTTCTCACTCCCACCTCCTTTTTAAATTTCAGACAGGGGACCCCTAATTTACTAATTGAACCAGTCTGGGTTTGAATTTGTGAAGCTTCTGTCTCAGCTTCAGGAAGCATGTGCTTTGTATTTTTCACTTTCAAGTGTCTCAATTTAAATTCTAAGATGGATGGGTGGATGGATGGATGGATGGGTGGGTGGATGGGTAGATAGATGGGTGGGTGGATGGATGGATAGACAGAAAGATAAATGGATGATAGATAGGATATATACATAGATAGATACTAGATACAACCTACCCAAAGAAAAGTTATATGGAGCTCCCCATTTTTATTTTATTTTAGTTTTTGTATTTTTAGGGAAGGGTCTATAGGGTGCTCAGGGTCTCGCTACTAGATCAGACTCATAGTGATCCACCTGTTTTCAGCCTCCCCAAAGCTGGGAATACAGGCATGTGCCACCATGCCCAATCTCAATTGCTATACCATCACACCACCAGGGGCGGGGCTGGCACAGCAGGCCTGGGGATTGAACCCCCAGCCCCTGTGCCTGCTTACAGGTACTTTAATCCACTAAGCTATTTGGCCCTCTATTTTTAAAAATTAATGGGGTCTCCAAGATTAGTAATTTAAGAATTATTGTACTATAGAAGAGTCAGTCATGCTAATGTAGGTTAATTGATTAGTATTGGTAGAAAGGGGGTGGGTTTGGACTAGAGCTCTATGTGGAATGCTTACCTAGCCCTCGGTTCAATCCCTAGAACTGCTAAAAAAAATAAAAAAGATGGAGTGAATCATTTAGTTTATAAAGGTACGTAGCATTTTGGCTCAAATATTAACATTCTGTTGATTAGTTTAGTCCTTGATTATAGTAATGATGATGCTGCCACTAAGAGTGTTTTATTATACAAAGAAAATCTGGCATCAGTTCCTTGAGGGTGGTTAATTCTCAGCTCACTGAAGGATGACAGAAATAAGTTGCAGCTGGACCTGAAATCTGAGCCATTAAAGAAATTTCAGGCCTGAGGAATAGACTTGGCTTCCCCCTTGCACTGCCATCACCTTCGAGGAAAGGGCTTCCTCTCCCTTGTCCTCTAGTGGCACCTGGGTTTCTTAAGCAGTCAGACTGTGTCACTAGAATGATTGGTAAAGGACAGAAGCTTCCTGGAAACCCACACAAGGAACTACTTAACACTGAAAGTCCTTCCTCCAATCTGAGCTCAGCATTGTGCGCCCCCTAAAGAAACCAGGTAGGGGCCTCTACTTTCTGTTGTTAGTACCCCAGCCATTTCTGCCTTTCCTTCAGTTGAGGACTTTTTCCTCCTATTATGGTCAGATTTTCTTCCTTGTTTTCATTCCTAGTTTGGTAGGTTTAGATGAAAGATACTGTGAATATTCTCAGGTAGAGTTGCAGGGTACTTTTGTATTACTGAGACTATTCGTGTGCTTGTAAGTTACTCACAAACAGAATAATCATTTAAGGATTGCTTTTTAGACTTACTAGGTGGAGTGAAAGCATCCTTTAGTCAACTCATGAATGAGCCAGTATGCTTGTAAATACTCTGCTGGGATGTTGCATGACTCTCATTGTTTTTCCACTTTGGTTGGTAGGAACAGCATGGTGATCTCCAGCACTGTTTGTTAAGCCTGTGCATAGTTTTGTCCCTAGCTTTCCACATCTTTACTCTCATCTGAAGACTTCAGGAGGATCCCTGCAGATCTATAGTTTGCTCTCTGGGCAGCTTTCTTCTGTCCATTAATGGGGCTTTTACACCACCAGTCATCTTGGCCTCCTTGCCACTTCCGGAAGTGCTTGTGGAAGTTGCCTTTCACCAGTGTCTTGAGTTGCACTGTCATGGCTGCCTTGATGTCTTAAATCTCTTTCAAGCTGCTGCTTTTCATGAGCATTTTGACTTTAAAGAGGAGCAAAACGTCATGTGGTGCCCAATCTGGTGCAGAAGTTGGATCGAGGACACACTGTGATGCTGCTACTGACCTTTTTGTTTGATGCCTCTGGATAGCAGCATTCCTTAGAAAGATGCTCTTGAAAGAGGATTTCCAGGACAGCTTCTGAAAATAGCAAGAATGATAAAGGATAAATGTGTTCAAAGTTAGGGGCAGTGTGTGGAGGAGGACTACTGACAATGTGCCTTGTACTGTAATAATTTTAAAAAATTTAAGCATATTTTTTATCACACCCTTATATGTTCATGAAATTCTTCATGTATGGAATAGTCTCAGATTCTGAATGTTTTGCTACACCTTGTGTGATGGGACTGTCTCCATGCATTCTGAGGACCCCAATTTTCTTTCCATCTGAAACAAGGACTGATGAAAAGGATTACTCAAACAAGTAGTAAGGATAAAGATTTTCTGGGTTTAACCACTACACAATTAAAGTATGGACATAATGATTTTGATTGAAACTTTAAATTTCTTTTCAGGTAATTCCAAGTTCAGTCTGCTATGTAAAGAAGACTCGATCGAACTCCAAGATGTATTTTCAGTGAAACTGAAACGGCGTCACTCCTTTAAACAGCAAACAAGAGGCACTGTATTAGGCATCACACTTTTCATCTGCTTGAAAAAGGAACAAAATAAATTAAAGGATTCTACACTTGATCTTATTAATTACAGTGAAGACCACTGTGACATATGGTTTAGAGAGCTGAAGAAAATGTTGGCAGGTGAGTTCTTGTTATGGTACTTCTTAATGAGCATAGTTTCCTTAATGTAGTTTATAATCCAAATATGTTATATCTATAGGTACAAAAGGTAGGTGATGATGTTGAGATGATATCTTTAATTTCATGTTTGCCCACTGTTTTTGTCAGAAGAGGGTATTGAAATTTTTAAAGTACTTTTTCTATTTTTATTTGACATGATCATATTTTAACCTTTATTCTGTTGAAGTGGTATACTACTTGGTTGATCTTCATGCTTAACCATCCTTGAATTCCAGGACTAAATTTCAGTTGATCATGGTAATCCTTTCAATAGTAATCATTTTATTGTTCTATTAAATTTGATTTGCTATGATTTTGTTAATCATTATATCAATATCCATATAGGACATTGACTGATAGTTTTATTGGTAGTGTCTTTGGCTTTGTCATCAAGGTTATGCTGGTTCTACAGAATGAGTTAGATTTACCCTTGAATGACCAAATTCACAAAGAAGCTTTAATAATTGGAAATAACATTAAAATATTATTATTATTTTTTACATACCTAGCACAGGGTCTCACTACACAGATCAGACTCATAGTAATCCTCCTGTTTTCAGCCTCCCAACCACTGGCATTATAGGCATGCACCACCATGCCCAGTCTCAATCACCATTTCAGCATGCCCTGGGGGCAGGGTCGGCACTGCACCCTATGGATTGAACCCAGTCCCTTTGTCAGCCTAAGGAGGTACTTTAATCTGCTGAGCTATCTGGCCAGCCCTTCTGTTTTTTTTTTTTTTAATTTTTTTTTTTAAATACAAAATAGTGATAGTAAGAAAACAGCATTAAAAATGATACAAGTTTTCACTAAGCAAAGTAATAGGAATTCAACAGTGGCTGTTTTATTCCATGATGCAATCGGTAAATTAGTTGGTCAGATTACCAGATATAAACCTATAAGATTTGTTTAAAGAAAAAAATAGCAAAGAAGTTATAAGAAATTCAAAAGAGGAAGAAAAAAATCAGCATTAAAAAATTTAAGAATTCACTGATCCTTTCAAAAGATCAGCAGAAATAAAAAAAAATACAACTATCCAAACTATTCTGCATATATGCCTAAATATATCTTTTTTTCTTCTTTCATTTGTCCTTTTCCTCAGCCCAGTTTTTCCTTCCCTTTGAATGATTTCCTTTCACAATATCTGTTGTACCTTTTAGATTTTCATTACTCTTCCAGGTTCTCACATTAGAAAGATAATACAACGCTTATACATGTGGATCTGGTTTATTTCACTTACTATATAGTCTCAAGCTGCATCCATTTATCTAAAAAGCCTCAAATTTATTTTTTCTATAGCTGAATAATACTATATTGTGTAAAAATAGCATATCTTTTTATCCATTCCTCAGTTGATGGGCATTTGGATTGTTTCAAAGATTTAGCTATGACAAATTGCATTGCTGTAAACACGGGTGCACATATATAGCTGTGGTATGATATTTTCAGCTCATTTTGGAAAATACCCCGGAGGGGAATAGCTGACTTGAAAAGGACCTCCAATCCTAGTTTTTGAGGTATCTCCCTACTGATATCCATAACAGTTGGACCAGCCTACATTCCCACCAACAGTGGAGAAAGGTTCCTTTTTCCCCACAGCCTCTCCAGCATTTGTTACTGGTTGACTTCTTGATGATAGCCATTGTTTCATATATTTATTTACCATTTGTATCTCTTCATTTGTGAATTGTATATTCATCTCAGATGCCCATTTTTGGATTGGGTCTTTGAATTTTGGAGGCCTGATTTTTTAATAGTTCTTTATATGTTCTAGATAGGAGTCTTTTGTCTGACAGTCTGATATAATTGTCTTTTACTTTATGAGTTTTCTTTTAACTCTGTTAGTGATTTCTTTTGACATGAAGAAACTTTTCAAAAAGGTGAGATCCCAATTGTTGATACCTTGAAATATTTCCCATGTAGTTTGACTTTTGTTCATGAACACTTTACCTACCCCATGTCCTTAAGGTTTCTACCTACTTTCTCTTCCAGGAGATTTAGTGTTTCAGTTTTAATATTTAAATCTTTGATCCATTTTGACTGTAGTTTTATGGATGGTGATATGCATGGGTCTATTTTAAGCCTTTGGCATGTAAAAAGCCAGTATTTCCAGCACCATTTATTAATGAGGCTATCATTCTTCTAATGAACATATTTGGCCCCTTTGTCAAAAATAAAGTGATTGAGTATCCTTGTAGTTATGTCTGCATCTTCTCATCAGTTCCACTGATCCTCAGGGGTGTGTGTGTGTGTGTGTGTGTGTGTGTGTGTGTGTTTGATATTACCATGCTGATTTTATCACAGTAGCTTTATAGTATAATTTCAAGCCAGGGATTGTGATGACTCCTGTCTTTCCTTTGTTACCCAGGATTGCTTTTGATATTCTGGGTCTTTTCTAGTTTCAGATGAATTTTAGGAATTTTTTTTCTAGATCTGTGAGGTATACTAATGGTGTTTTAATTTGGATTGCATTGAATTTGTATAACAAGTGTGGGAGTTTGACCCTTTTCACAATGTTGGTTCTTCCTATCCAGGAGCAAGGAATATCGTTCCATTTTCTGAAATCCTCTTTGATCTCTTTTTTCAGAGTACTGTTATTTTCATTGTATAAATCTTTTATTTCATTTGTGAGATTGAGTCCTATGTATTTCATTTTTGAGGGTATTACTGTGAATTTGGAGATTAAATCTATAAGACTCTTGGTGGAATTTTTGGGGTCCTCTATGTAGAGTATCATGTCATCTGCAAATAATGATAATTTCATTCTGTCTTTTCCAATCTTTATTCCTGTTATTTCTCTTGTTTGTCTAATTGCTGTGGCTGATGTTTCCAGCACTATACTGAATAGGAGTAGAGACGGTGGATATCCTTGTCTTGTTCCTGATTTCAGAGTGAAGACCTTCAGTTTTTGCCTGTTTAGTATGATCTTGGCTGTTGGGTGCTCATAGATGGCTTTTATCAGGTTGAGATATAGACCATCTATCCTGCTTCTCTGAAGGTTTTTTTTTTTTTATCATGAAATTGTGTTGGACTTTGTTGAAAGCTTTTTCTCCATCTATTGGCATGATGATGTGGTTTTTGTTCTTGGTTCTATTGATGTGGTGTATTACATTTATGAACTTGCACATGTTGAACCATCCCTGTATTCCTGGATTGAATCCCTCTTCATCATGATGTACAATCTTCTTGATGATTTTCTGCATTCTGTTTGCTAGTATTTCATTAAGAAATTTTGCATTTGTGTTCATTAGAGAGATTAGTTTGTAGTTCTCTTTTATGATTGGGTCCTTCTCTGGTTTTGAAATCAGAGTAAATACTTGCCTCTCTGAATGAGTTTGGGAGAATTGCTTTTCTTTCAGTTTCATTAAAGTGTTTGAGAAGAGTTGGCATTAGATCCTCCCGATATTTCTTGTAGAATTCAGCTGTAAATCCATCAGGACCTGGGATTTTCTTTCTTAGCATTTTTTTAAAATTATATTTTCAATTTTATTGGCTGCTATTAGGTTATTAAGAATTTTTATGTCTTCTTGATTTAGCTTTGGTAGTTGATATGTATCTAGGAAACTGTCCATTTCTTCTGTAGTTTCCATTCTGTGAGAGTAAGGATTTTGGAAATTATTGATAATCTTTTGAATTTCTATAGGGTTTATGGTGATTTCACCCTTTTCATTCTTCATTGCATGATTTTGAATATTTTGTTTTCTTTTTTTAATGAGATTGGTTAAGGTTTATCAACTTTATTATTTCAAAATCAATTCTTAGACTCATTAATTCTTTGCCTTTTTTTCCAGTACTAGGAATTGAACTGAGGACTTTGCACTTGCCAGGCAGGTGCTTATGTCGATGAACTATCTCCCCAGCCCTGTATTGTTTTCTTCATCTCCAATGCATTTATTTCTGCTCTGATCTTTATAATTTCTTGCCTTCTTTGGGCTTTGTGCTTGATTTACTCTTATTTTTCTAGGAATCTGAGGTGCAGCATAAGATTGTTTGTTTGGGTTCATTCTGATTTCCTGATGTGAGAATTTATTGCTATAAATTTCCCTCTTAAAATAGCTTTTATTGCTGTTACAGTAAGTTGTATCTGCATTTTCCTTAGCCTGTGAATATTGGTTAATTTCTTCATTAATTTCATCCATGGTCCTTTGATTTTTTCATGAGGGTATTGTTTAGTTTCCATGTGTTTATAGAATTTTTTTGCTGTTTCTTTTGTCAATAACTTCCAATTTTATTGCACTATAGTCAGATAATATGCATGGGATAATTTTGATTCCTTTTCATTTAATGAAGCAAGCTTTGTGTGTTAGCACATGAGGTATGTTCGAGAACATCCTATGTGCCACTGAGAGAAATGTGTATTCTGATGCTTTTAGGTGGAACACTCTATGAAGGAATATTGTGTCAATTTCTTCACAATTTCAGTTCAGTTCTGTTATTACTTTGCTCATTTTTTGCATGGCTGATCCATTTCTTTGTGTTAATGGGTGTTAAAATTCCCCAATACCATTATGTTATTGCTCATTAGATTTTTCATGTAAAATTTGTCTTATATAATTGGGTACTCCTATATTGTGTGCATATATATTTATAATCGTTATGGCTTTCTCTTACAGTTTTCCCCTACCAAGTTTATAGCGACCTTCTTTGTCTCTTTTAATCACATTTGGTTAGAAGTTGACGTGGTCAGCAACCAGAATAGCTACCCCTTGCTTTTTTCTGGGTGCCTGTCACATGAAGTGTTGTTTTCCATCCTTTGATATTCATTCTATTTATTTCTTTTTGAGTTAAATGTGTTTCTTTTTTGTTCTTTTGCCACCTCCTCCCCCTCCCCTTCCTCCCCCTCCCCCTCTCTTCCTCTCCTCCTCCTCCCCCTCCCCCTTCTCCTCCAAACCAGAGTTTGAACTCAAGCCCTTGAGCTTGTAGGCAAGCACTTATTCTACTGAGCTATCTCCCTGGCCCTA